CATATTTTGTGTTATTATTAATTTAAGTTTTAAATTAATATTACAGAATTACACATTTGTTGAGAACACTTGCATGCACCAGCAATTGTTGTAAAATTAAAGGGGGAAAAAATAAACATAAACATTCAGACGGTGTCCAAAAAGTTCTTCTTTGTGACATTTAATTTGATTTTAATTAAACACGAGTGATCTGAAGTGATTTAGCTGCTATATTGTGGTTTATTGAAGCTGTAATTCTGTGTTTAATGTGACATATGTCCATAATGTCCATACGATTACATATGTCCCGGCGGTGAGTCTCTTTTGATGCTACAGACGCAGCACAACTCCACAATGTCCCAGAATCCCCCAAGTGTCTGAGTGAAGAGCAGCTCACACATCCAGTCTGATAAGGACCAAACACGGCCTTCATCACCTCATCTCCTCCTCCTCTCCCTCCCTCAAACTTCTCATCTTCTCTCTCCCCCTCCTCTACTCCACTCCCCACTCCTCCTACCGTCTCGTCTCCTCTCTCCTCCCTGTCTTCCTCCTTTGCCTCCACCTCTCTCCTTCTCTCCCTCTCCTCCCCCTCCTTGGCTTTCTCTCTCTCCCCTTCTCTCACCCTTGTCCTCATCTTGTCCTCCCTCCTTCTCTCTTACCCTTTCTCCTTCACACTCTCCTCCTCCTCTCTTACCCCTCTTCTCCTTATTCTCTCTCGCCATCTCCTCGTCTCACTCCCTCTCTCCATCTTACTCTCCCTATTCAGTCTCCCATACCTTCTCTCCTCCTCTCTTACCCTTTCTCACACTTGCTCCCTCTTCTCTTCCTCCTCCCTCTCTCCTCCCCCTCTCTTCGCCTCCTTTTGTCTCTCCTCTTCCTCTTTCTCCGTCTCACCGTTTTCTCTTTCATTCTCCTATTCCTCTCTCTACCCTTCTCCCCCTCTCTCTTCTCCTCTTTCTTTCTCACCCCCTCCTTCTCTCTCTCTCTCCTCCCCCCTCCCTCCCGCCCTCCTCTCTTCCCCCCCTCTTTCTCTCCTCCCTACCTCTCCTCCTCCCTCCTCTCGTCCTCTCTCACCTCTTCTTTCTTCCTCTCCTTCTCCCTCCCTCCCCCTTTATCTCTCCTCCTCTGTCCCTCTCTCTCCTCCTCTCTCACCTTTTCTCTCCCCCTCCATCTCTCCTCCTCCCTCCTTCTCTCTAGCCTCTTCTCTCTCCCTCCCTCCTCCCTCTCTTCTCATGCCTCTCTCCTCTTCTGTCTCTCCCTCCCTTCTCCCTCCCTCTCTCTCCTCTTCTCTCTCCCTCTCTCCTCCCTCTCTCCTCCCCTCCTCCTCCCTCTCTCTCCTCTTCTCTCTCCCTCTCTCCTCCCTCCTCCTCCCCCCTCCTCCCTCTCTCCTCTCTCTCCTCTCTCTCCTCCCAAAGTGGAGTTGAATCACGGCCCAAACCCCGACAGGAGGCAGGGAGGAGCATCTCGACGTGATGCATCCATCTCCAGGCTGGTCGGACGTCGAGTACAAGTTACTCTTCAGATGTTGTTTTTGGAAGCTCTGCAAAGATCAAGGGGGGCATGGTGGCAGAGTGGTTAGCTCTTCTGCCAACCAGGAATTTGGGTGCTTACACAATCTCTCGAAATGTCGTCCCTGTGTCATAAGTGTTCTTTGGCTTGTTCCCACCATCCAGAGACATGCGTGTGTCCAGATCTGCCCTCACATTACCCCTTTAGTCCATGGGGCTAATATACTCCACTGTCCACCGGGCTTGAGGCCCAATTTACAGAAAAAAGGACAAAGATTAAGATTAACACTTGAAGATGCGATGTAAAGATCATATTACGTATAATATTTTAGTATAAGAAAGGCTTCATGATGTACGGCCAATTAGAAAACATCAGAGCTCTGCAAATAAAAAAATAAAAATAAATAAATGAAATGCTGACTTTCAAACACATGTTCGCATTTAATATATAGTTCAAATTGATAAAAATAGATTGTTAAATAGAAAACATATCACAAGTAGGCTAGAACTAGGCTAAAAGTAACACTTAAATACTTAATATTATTAGGCCAGTGAAAGGTCAGTTGTTTTTATAATAATAATAATAATAATAATAATAATAATTATTATTATTATTATTATTATTATTATTTATTTATTTTTGCTATCCAGATATTAATCAAATGAAACATATTTTAAGAATTTGCAACTGGTTATTAATTACATTACATATAAGTCTACCATAAGTAAACCAATGATGTAATGAGATGTAAAATATTAACTAGACAACTAGGCCTATAGAATATTAAGATAATTACATGTAAATTTAAAAATATATACTGTATATGAGAAAATAGGCCTAGAATAAAATAACCTCTATGGTGTGTCATCTGTTACGTGTGGCGTGTTGTTTTGAGTATTTGTAAGTAAAACACAAATAAAAGTGTACAGCAGCCGTGCCAAAATGATGCATAAGTTTACCAGGACAAATCTCTCCACCCAACCTTGACTTGACTTAATACCGTCATTAAAGAAACCATTTGCGCATTTCACTTCCAAGCAAATTGACTCTTTAACAGCGTAATAAGCGAAAACAAAAGTAAATCAACCACGATCCTATGCATGAAACTACAAATCTTTCAGACACTACGTAGATTATTCAAAAATATACACATTAAACGCTGCTTAAAAGTGTGTTGATGGCTTTTGGTTACCGGCAAGTCAACATCCCCGTCTCTGGCACTGGTCGTTTACGGGGAAGGGGGAGAGTTAATGTAAGATTTCTGTTCTAGAGCAAACAAAGTGGCCACGGGCACCAAGGAACAGCTGCCGTATAATTGAATTAAGATTCGCCTTCTGCTCCGGCACTCCAAACCCGTGCACGGCCTCCATCAAGCCGCTCCCATGAATATGCATGCTCCCCCGGATAAATACGCGCGGGCTGGCTGAGGTGCGTATATGTGCAGAGAGGAGTCGTGGTTTACATACATCAGGCAGGCAGCACCGGCTCACTCTTTTTTATTGCCACATGGCCTCAGAGGATTCACAGGGCAAGAAACGGCACGCGGCAGGTGTTTGTGGAGCTGTGGTTCAACTGAGACATCTGCTGGAGAGAGGCGGTATGACAGCCTGACTCTATTTTATTTTTTTAACTACTATGTTTTAAGTAACATGATATAAACATGTTATTATATGTTTATACTGCAATTTAATGGTTCAACATTACACAAAACTGACTCTTGTGAGCTTTTAGTCATGTTATAATGTTGTTACCTCATCAAAAACATAACAAGAGTGTTTTGATCCATTCACACATGTTTGAGTAATTTTCTGTTATTACTATGTCTACATCTCAGCTCAAAATGCTCTGTTCCACCTTGTGATGTCATAAAGTGGTAGTTTTCAAGTTAACAGCGACAGCTACTTTTTACCTTTTGTTTTGTTTAGTAGAGATTTGCGACTCTGGGGCTGAAATGATCCATATGACAGCACAAGGTGGTACTCTTAAATATGTAGGGTTTGTGTGTTAAACATGTGTGAATGAAACAAAACACAACTCCAGGTATGTTTGGGATGAGGCAACAACAGTATAACATAGATCAGAAAAAAGCGTAATGGGCTCTAAAATCAGGGGTCACCAAACTTTTTTTTCCCTCTGGGGGCAACATTATTGCTCCTGACAGTGATGGGGGGCCTGTGTCGGGTCGGCCCTAAAACAGAATTATATGACCCTGACAACGCAGATTATATTTTTGGAAAACCACCACACTTTCTTTACATATCAGACAAACTGCATGGTCCTTTGAACAAAAAAAATCATCAGTCGTCCACTGTTCTTTAAAAACTCTGCATTCTCTGTCAACTTTTTGTACTTTAACACAGGCATTTTTCATCCTTAACTGCACTACAGAACTCTGTGTGTGCATTGACGGTCACAGTTTGATCTTGAGCTTGTCAGGTGATGAAAATTTGGCAGCAAATGTAAATATGTCATATAATAATTTAAATATAAATATAATGTTTTAATTGAAAAAAAAATCTACAAAATACATGATGCAGACGTGTTATTATTTGCCAAAAAGTACTAAAACAAACTGGCCATGACAACTTTTGAGGATTGCCTCATAGGGCCAGTTCCAGTGGTGGGGGCAGAGGGGCTGGGCCGGTCAAAGGGGCATGGAGGGCTGAAGTTGGCCCACAGGCCTTAGTTTGATGACCCTTGCTTTAAAGCATAAAACTACTAAAATAAGCATGTTTTGCTTTTATTACACAGATCTATCGTGGCTGATGTCCAAATTGAAATAGCCTAAACATAATCTATAATATTCCAGTTTTTTATTACTCATCACGATTTTGAGAGTCCAGTTATTTCATGTAAGAAATGTCACCAAGTTAAATCTCCTGTACAACTGTGATTCTGTAATTGAACAATAGAGGGTGACTTTCTCTGTGCTTCTTGTATGACGTTTTTATTTTTGCCACTGTCTAGTAGATTATATGGCACTTTATGTAATAATCCAAAGGCCTATAAAGGTCAAAGGAGTCATACCTGATAAGTAACACAGGCCTCTATGTGGGCCTGGTGAGTATATAGACTATAGGAGTCAGGTAATTGTAGTACAATTTCTTCAAAATAATACTCAAGTAGAGGTACAAAGTAACTAAAAGTTATTGGGAAAATTACTAATTACTTAATTACTAATTAAAAGTACTTGTGGGAGTAACTATCTAGAAGTACCATTGTATCTATAATTTGAAGTTAATGGCCTAGTAATACAAGTTTTTTCTCAAGTCAGTGTATTTTTTCACTAAAGTATGTTGATGAGTATAGTATAGTTCTATTTAAAAGTTGCTCAGATGTATTCTATCTAAGTAAATGTTTTCATCTGTGTGTGTGAGTAACTGTTTCCTTTATATCCAAAATAGTTTGTAAGTTACACAGTGATAATCAAGTATATCATATTTTTCCCCCACTGCTCCATGTGGTGTTTGTGAGTGTGTAAAATGAAGACAGGCAGACATGATCTGAGCCCTTTGAGTCCAGATTTATTGATACGGCTGTGCAGTCACAGAGCATGGTGGCACATGAGGCCTCCCGTCCAAAGGGGGCAGTGACACACACGAGCACTATCACACTCACGCACACACTCACCACCATTCAGTCAAGAGAACAAGAAATCTGTCTCCACTAAAGCAGAGGCGCAGACAGTTGGTGATTTGATTAAAACCGAGTTGATGGGAAATACAAAAATATATTAAAGTTAGTTGTTTCATGATTTAAGTTTGTTCGTTTGAAAAAAAAAAAAAGGTTAAAGATGCACTGTGTAACTTTTCTGAAAGAGGACCCGCCACCTGTTTGTCTCCATGGAGATGTTATTGCTTTGCCTGGAATGTTCCACAGTATGGCATTAAGCTTATCTATGCAGACAAGCAAGTGACACCTCAAGACCAAGTCACATGTCAAATCTGAGAGGTGACCCAGATAAGAATGATTTGCATGATTTCAAAGTATTTTTAAATATAATAATACAATTAAATAACAAAATAAAAATAAAAATGAATACATGTTAGATAAGTTTACTGTCTTAAAAGTGAAAAAAAAAAAAAAACAAAACTCCAAAAACAAGTTACTTTTAAAGAGTTTGCAGTGGTCCAAACGTATTCCTCACTTTCCTAACACATTTCTAGCATTTTAATTGTTCGCAGTGATGAGTTTAGAAGCATGTTTTACGACTTTCAGAAGCCGGGGCGAAGTTTTGCTGTCACAGGAGTAATGCTCACAACAAGCGTGCTAACAGTGCACCATTTTTACTTCTTGTCTTCTTCTTGTCAATATCGTGATATTGTATTGTCAAAGTTCTCACAATAATATCGTGGACCATCACAATATATCGAATTACAAGTCTCTTTGCTTAAATTAAGAGTTATGGTGTAACAATAACGAGAAAAAAAAAAAAAAAAAAAAAGACAGGGAACTACATAGACCATGATCCTTTGCTCCATTTCATTGTAGAATACAAGAAATAACAGTTCTAAGCACTTTTAAGTCTTAGTTCTTTGGAGTAAGTCTTGTCAAGGCATTTTAAGAGGAGTAGCATATCGTATTCCATAATAAATATCGTGCCGTGAGATGAATATCGTGAAAATATCAAGAGATTTGGATATTGTTACATCCCTAATCGTGAGCTTCCCCACCATATTGTGAGCTTTCCCACAATACCACAATAAATATCATACCGTGAGGCTCATACCGTGATGATATCGTATCGTGAGACTTGCATAACGTTACACCCCGAATAAAAATGCTTCATGATTAGATGCAGACAGCACACAACGCTCAATTTTGACCAATATATCTGTACTGAGGCCGAGCAAATGTTATTTTAGTTTTTTACGTGAAAAAAACTGATGCGGCCCCTTTAATATCATAAAGTGGAAGATTCCAGGCAAAACAATAACATCTCCATGGTGATAAACTCCCCCCATCCCACCAGAAAAGTGACATAATGCACCTTTAAATGCATTGTTGTGTAGTCTTGTCCACTCTCTCTCACTCCCATTCACCTCAGCAGTAGATCAGGTCACAGTGAAGAGATCAGAAATGCACATTGTAAGTATCTTCTGGCAGTTCACACACGCTTTACATCCATCAAAGTTTAAAACATTTGGAGATTAATCGAAAAGCAAATGACAGAGGATTAAATCTATAATCACAAAACACCGTATGTCGATTAAAATTTTTCTTTTCTTTTTTTTTTTTTACAAAACACAGTGACACATGTGGGATAATGGCTGGTACAAACCCATACACTAAAGAAGACCATCACAGGAGCGAGTGAAAGTGAAACTACAAGATTGTACTTGTGTTGGTCCCTTGGAAATAGTGTCAGGAAGGCTAAATCCAGGTTGTGTCATATAAACTTTCCTCTATTATAAATCTAATCTGCTATAGTTCAATAATAGCTTTGAATTTACAGGTAAGCCACTTGTTTTGTATGACTTCAGAGCTGGTGACATATTTAACATAGAAATGGAGAGATCGTCAAGGGACAAAAGGTGGAAGTGATTTCAAAACAATGTACAATTTACAGCACAAAAGGTCAATATTTAAACATAAAAAGAAGTCAATAACAGCCTTACGTCAAACTGCCAACTCAAACCAAGGCCTAGTCTTTTGATCAGAGGTGGAATTATTTTGCTTAGGTACATTTTGGAGAAAGAAAAGTGTATTGTTGACTTTTGTGACAGAAATCTTTTTAGACGCAACAGATGAAGTAGAAGTTGCTGTAATAAAGTAATATTATTAGTAGTTTTAGTGGAAGAGTCACAGTGAACAGGTGAAGTTGCCAATTTGCACAATAGGCTCTATTCACAGTATTCAGACGTCACAAATTAGGAAGATGTTGGGAAAGATGTGATTACAACTTCCAGTGTTACCGACAATGAGCTCGCCTAACATGGATCTATTAAAACCGACTGTGATTAAACCCACTGACGTAAATGTGATCAGCGGTAAAATGAAGACTGCATACGTATGTGCTGTTTCGAATCTTGACTTAATCTCTTCTAATTGCATGTACCCAGTGTGCTTGGAGTTGTGTGTCAGAGGGGAAATGATGAAAACCGAGTTATGGTTGTAACTGTTGATTAGCCGAACACAACAGAACGCTACAATGACATTTTGATGAAGAAAACTGGGCCTGGGAAGTTGTAATCGCATCTTTCCAAACGTCTTCCTGGTTTGTGACGTAAGTGTGAATACAGCCTATTACAGAAGTTTTTAATTGAAAACTATTTTGGTGTAGAAATCTGGTGACATATTTTGGAGGCACACTGCATAACTTTTTTGTTGGTGTCCACTGCCTGCTTGTTTCATCGAGATCCACAATACGGCATTAAATATTTTTACTGGTCAAAAACATCTTCAAAGACATACAGTACATTTATTCTACGACACCTTTCCACAGATCTGACCTGTAACTTGGCCAAAGTGAACCTCACTGGACTGAGAGAACCACATTATGGACTGGGACGGAGTAAACATAACTGGGACAGAGGACAACAAACATCGTTGCTGAATTAAGGAGGCAAACGAAATACGGAAACAAGGGTCACACACCTGAGACACTGTCCTGAAGTAGTCAGACGACATAAACCTGTATAAATCAGCTGAGCAACATCACGTCACCACTCTGAGGAAGACCGCTCGTGAGCAGCTGAAACTATCAGTATGAAAACAAACTAAACCTTGGTCTGAAAGAAGAATCTGGAGATGGATTAGTTTAATACCATACTGTGGAACATCTCCAGCAAAGCAATTCCTTCTCCACGGAGACACGCAGTGCACCTTTAAGTCAATTTTACATTCAACATTATAAATGCTTATACTAACATCCTTTTGTGTAATGATATTTGAAAACATTTTTTCCTCTTTTCCTTTTTTACTTCCACCTCTGACCAGGACCACATGAACACAAAGTTTTTTTCTCTAAGCTCAAATGACATCACTAAAATCAGAAGAAAAGCGTGTGAAGCGATAGGCACACATTCTGCCAGCCCAGCCGAAGCTCTCAGCGCTGGCGGTTTCTTTTAGGTAGAAAGTAGCATGGTTCAGTACATAGTGTCAGAACTCCTACATCCCAGCACTACTCGCCAATATACAAAGTTTAGGATTTTTAACATGTAGTAGGCTGAGAGAAGTTTCCATAGCATTTCTATATACATTAGTTCAGTCATCAACCCATATAGTATTTACACTGACATGCACTAAAATGTTTTAATTTAAAAACAGAAAAAAAAACAACTTTGGGGTCTATCGCAAATACTGCCAATTTTTCTTTTTTTTTGTCACATCAAGCTGCAAAGGTACACTATGTTACATTATGCACAGTAAGCAATATATTCATTTCCTATACACAACATTACAAGGCGTTTAGGAGGACAATCAAGAAGCAGACATTGATCAGACTCAAGATGACTGACAGCAAAGCATTGTGGGAAATGTATTAATTGTAAACACATGAAGTATTACAGGCTAGGACATTGGAGAGAGCGATTGGCTTTAAAAATGCTACAGATACAAGAAGGCGTCAAGAAGGCAGAGAAATAATGTGATTTAAAAGTTTTTTTCTTTTTCTTTTTTTTTTTTTTTTTACAATTTAACATGATATGTGAAACCCTTTTTAACTATTATCTTACAATATATGCAAAATTAATCATAGATAGACTCCTTCTCAACTTACAAATGTTAAATACAGTACAGTCAATGGGACGAACATCTAAAATGGCCACACCAAAGCCTAGGAAAGAACTCGAGGTGAGTTTTCTGCATACTAACGCATAGGTTTTGTTGTGAAAATGTTTTTATGTTGTGAAAAGCATAAATGTGCATCTACTTTTGCATTCTGTGTTTCAGTTTTTAAATAAAATATTATAAGAAAGCTATTGTGAAACTGTACAATGGCTACAATGTAAGTAAAGAAAGACATAACTTTACAAACAAGTCTTCAGGAAGTAGAATAATGCACATGTTTCTATAGCGCTGCATACAGTAAGAATATATATTAAATAAATTAAATGGACTGAATGCAGGTGTAGGGAGATGTAATAGTGTAATGTATGTAATTGACCAGAAGGGGGAGGCAGAGACCAGAGAAGTAGTAATAACAGTTGTGAGTTTATAAGCATGTTTCCATAGTTGTGAGCAGAAGTGTAGACTGACTGGGTGAAGCAGGTTTGAACAGCAGCAGCACTCAGAGAAACAGCATTCGGGCGCATAGGAGCTTATTATTCCATGGCTACCTCTGCAAAAGAGAAAAACATCAGGTATTATCAGTATCTGCAGTGTTGGGGAGAGTATGTATTTACAGAACTGCTGCATTTTAGATGACAATATTCTATCGGCTAACAATATTTAAAGCTCCTATGTGACACAAAATGGACTCTTGTGAGCTTCAAGCCATGCTATAATGCTGTTATCTCCTCAAAAACATACCTGGAGTTGTGCACTATTTCATTCACACATGTTTGAGTAACCCTAAACTCAGGTGTGTTTTTGGTGAGGTTACAGCAGTATAACATACAGTAGATCAGAAAATAACTTAATCCGGGCCCTTTAAAACAGATGGGGGCTGCTTAAGTGAATAATGTTAAAATTCAGATTTCACTTCTAATGCAAGAGATTAAAGTGGACCTATTATGCAAAATTGTGTGGTTGGTGCCCCGTTTTCATTTCTCACTCTCAAAGTTGTATTTACCTAGTCTGATTCATCAGCTGGTTTCACTTCATAGAAACTTCTGACCTCGCAGCATTAGAATTCGTTCCCTTGGCGGTAGGTGGGTACTTTTTTATTTAAACAATTGCTGCTGTTTGGTCATGATGTATGTAATGCGCTGCTAACGGGATCAACTGGTATATTAAGCTTTTCCCAAATCCTGTAGGAAGAAGGGCAATAATGTCTTTCCCTTGATAAAATTCATCAAACATTCTCTTTGTTCTAGTTTTAAATCCCTGATCTCTGAAATCATTGTCAACACAGAATGTCTGGCTCTTCGCTGATTGGCTGATGCCCGGACTTGCACTTCCGGGGTTCTTTCAAACCATCTAGTGTATTCCGATTCCTGACCTAGTAGTCACTGGAGATAAATGACATTGAGCGGAGACACCAGGTGGCACCAGCCTGGCTAGTATTTACAATGATTCATGAATGTTTGAGTAATCTTTATATTCCTGTATTCAAGACATCATTGGTCGGATCAACCCCCAGAGCCCTCTGCTCTGTACTTACTTACGTATCGTAATTTCACACTGAGTTATGGACATGTCAGAACAGCTGTATTATTGTTTCACCATTTGTTAAGCATTTATTTATCACTGATTTATCATTTATTTATTTATCACTTTATCACTAGTACTTTAGTTTGAAGCCTAACTTGCATGATCATGTGTTGTCCTTTGATTGTAGGAAAGTAACTGTATTCTGAATACCACTGCATCGAAGAGTAACTGTACCACAACACAGTTACTGAATTAATTAACAAATTAAATACAACATGTTACAATTACTTTCAGACTGTGAGTACAGGTCTGCCAGTCCCAAAGTCCAAAGCACAACCATGACAGTGGGATAAATACTGATTTATAGAACATTAAAAAATCCTATTTTATGGTTGATGGGGGTTCTGAGCTATATTCTATTACTGCCTACATGTAAACTGAAATGATGGTAGAGTCTTCAGTCATGGTTCAATGGTAACGATCAAGGAAGTCTAAGCAAGGAAAACATCTCATTTTAATCTGTGAGGACATATCTCCAGATGTTGCGATAGTCTTGGTCAAAACAATCTTCGCAGGATGACATTTGATTTGAATGCATTCTGCAGACTCACCATCCACGGCTTTGTTCTTGTTTTCGACACTTTCTGGAGATTCAGCTCCTTCAGACAGCTCTCCTGAAAAACAACCACCACGTTTGATACATTTCAAATCAAAGACAAAAGATTATATTTATACTCCACTCCACAGACCTCAATAGTACTTCAAAAGAATCTGGTTTCCAACATATGCTGCTCAACTCTGGTTTAAAATATACTTAAAAGAAGACACTATATTTTTTCCTGTATTTTACACTATTATACATTATTGCACTATACTTGGATTATTTTACATTTTGTTTATTGTAAATCACAATTTCTACAAAAGCATAAGGTCTGTAGAGCTGTGAGACTCTGCCCCCTCATAGTGACATCGCACTATAGCATGAGGTGGATTATAATTTTGTTGTTGAAATTGTAAGTAAATACAGAACTGTGGGTGGAGATAGGAGGTGGGTGATATTTAATTTTTGAAGCACTCAAGCCTCAAATGCAGAAAGCATGCAGGGATACTGTTAATACTGAAAGAACACCATTATAATCTGGTTAAAATGTTATTAAAATAGATGTAATATGCATAACTTCATTAATATTCATTTTCCATACACCAGGTTTTGTTCCAGACCATCTTTCTGGTTGATTCTCTTTGCCTCTTTTAAAAGATGTAGTGCGTAATAAACTGATGAGACAAGCAATTATGAGGTGCGCCAGTCCGTCACAGTAAAAAAGCATGAAAGGAAATTGACCCACTAAGAGAAAATGAGCTCAGCAGTCACTTTGGCAGTGCTGAGAGAGAACAGGACTGGCCCATCTCCACTGTACAGATACACAGGAAACCAGTGCATTATTTACTTTGATTTATATTTCCCAGGTATTTGATTGTGATTTCTTGCATGTTTTTGCTTATGCCATTGTGTCGCATTTATATTTAATGGAATAATTTATAGGTGATTACCGAGGCATATAATCAAAAGTTAATTATGGGGCAGCAGTAGCTCAGTAGTTATAGAGCTCTACCAATCCAAAGGTTAGATTATTGATTCCCATTCAAACTATACTGCTTTTCTCTAAGAAGATGTTATTGCTTTTCCAGGAATGTTCCACAATAAGGCATTAAACTTAAATATCTAGCATTTTTTTCAATTACAAGGGGCAGGTATTTTATTTTTCTTACTATAAGCAGGTAAATCACTCTACAGATCTGACCTAGAACTTGACCTGGTGAATTATCTTGCGTGTCCCCATGGATATAAGTTCTATATACATTCTAAGTGCAGCGTTGTTAACTAATTATAAAGTATATAATCTATGTATTATTTCTTTCTAGAACTGTTGTCATGGTAACGTAGTCCTGTACCATTCTGCAGCAGTAGGCTCCGGTGGTGGCTGGTCCCGGGCTCTTCCTCTTTATTGTCGTCTGGAGCGGTGACCTCTGCAGCCTCTGTAGTCGCCCCCTGCTGGCTGTGCTCCTGTTTTGCATCGGGCTCTGCTTCAGTTTGTCCCTGTGGGGGATCCATAGCCTCCTCCTGCTGAGCGAGCTCCTCTGCCTCACGTTTAGCTCGCTCTTCGGCCTCTGAAGTCACAAAGGGCAGAGGGCTGGTCAACAGTCTGTGCTACAAATGAGTGGACTAAAGATGAAATTATTTTGAAAAGTGTTGCTAGGGGACAACTCACATGAAGAAAAAAACATGCTCTGGATTCTTAAAAAATAAATTGAATTGAAGTCAAATATTTAGTGGCTGAAAAGTTAGTCATTTTTAAATGAGACGCATGTGATCAGATCATCAGGCTCTATTCATGCTTATGTCACAAACCAGGAAGATGATTGGAAACATGCAATGACAACTTCCGGTGTAGTTAGTAAATGTCATCAGTAGTAAAATGAAGACTGCATAAGTATGTGCTCTCATCTCTTCTAATCGCCTGTACCCTGTATGCTCAGAGTTGTGTGTCAACAGAGAAATGATGAAAACTGAGCTATGGTTGTAATTGTTGATTAGCCGAACATAACAGAACACTACAATGACATGCAGATGAAGAAAACTGGGCCATTTTCCTCATTTTGTCAGACTTACTACCGTGAACAGAGGGAAGTTGTCATTGCATGTTTCCTGGTTTGTGACGTAAGAATGAATCGAGCCTATTGAATTTTCAATTCAATTTCCAGATACATACTTTTTTGATCCCGAAGGAAATTTAAGACATTTTTGAACATGATAAATTAATTATTATATCTAAATATCCAACAAAATAGGGAAACCAAGAAAAAAATATTTAAATATTGACAAGTATTGACATACTAGTATAAAAGAATAAAAGACCAAACAACAATGTTACCAATATTAGGGCATTTAGGTACAGTACCTGTTGGTTTTGTTCAAATCAGTTGAAAATACATGTTGTAAATATTATTCATAAAATATCTGTAAAACTTTCAATTATTATTATTTTAAATTGATGACTGTACAGCCTGCTGGAGGGACCAGATGTATTAACTGTATTTACCCAACCCAACCAAAGCAATAATCAGGGCGACAATGTGATCATCCAAGAAGATCACAAAATTATCTGTTACCTTTTTGTTTTAGTGATATGAAAAGTTCAGCACTATGATCTGGTCTTCATTTAAATGACCGATGACTTTTAATGACCAATTACGCTACTGTCAGTGCCAACTGCTTCTATGCGAGGTACGTCCTGGTACTTAGGCTTAAGGTTTAAGAACAGGATTACATTCAAAGAGAGCCAAACTACTGCATAATATCTTAAAATGGCAATATTTGCTCTCCTTTAGCCCTTATTTGGACACAAACTGAAAAACCCTGACGTACCTTGTAGCATCCCACTCCAATAAACCTCCATCATTTTTATAGCCTAATTTTTCTTTTTCTCCTTGGAATGATCAGGTTTTAAGACTTGAATGTTCACTATGTATATAAATCTCTATTACTGGACACATTTTTCTGTGCTGTAGACTGTACCTTTAGCAGCCTGTGCCTTCCACCGCTCCCTGTTTTGAGACACTTCCTCATTCCACAAAGCCTTGAAATTTTTCATGTCCACGGTCAAGAGAGAGCTGTGTCCGGACGAACCACTGTCAGACCCCGAACTCTTCCTCTTGCTTTCCTCTGAGCCAATGCTGTTCAGACTGAGACAAAAACAATGGAAAATTATTTATTTAAAAGACCGATATTGCACTATTTTCTGATCTATGTTATAATGTGGAAATGTTAGCTCAGTTAGTAGACCATTTGTCCACTGATCCAAAGATTGGAGTCCTGCTCTTGAGGTAAACTTTACTAGTTGAACGGTCAGATCCACTGACACACAGGTTGGTGAAGCAATTCCAGCTCCCACAGACAAATGTTGTTGTGTACTTGGGGAAGACACTTAAACCACCTTGTGGATCTCTCCAGGTCAGCCAACACCTCAGCACTGGTCAAAAAGGCCCAGCAGCAGCTACACTTCCTGAGGGTGCTTAGGAAGGAGCAACTACACACAAACCTGTTGGTGACCTTCTATTGCTCCACCATGGAAAGCTTGCTGACCTCTGCTGTGACAGTGTGGCACTGCACAGAGGCTGACAGGAAGCATCTACAGTGGGTGACCAACACTGCACAAGACATTAATGGCTGCCCTCTGCCTTCCTTAACCACATTATACAACTGCCACTGTCTCAGCAGAGCGAGGAAAATAATTAAAGACAATACACACCCTGGATTCCACCTGTTCAACCTGTTGCCTTCTGGCAGGTGCTTCAGGTCAATTCCAGCTAGGACCAACAGACTCAGGGACAGCTTCTTCCCCAAAGCTGTCACCATACTTAATGAGAACTGTTAATTTGTTTTATTTGTTATTAATTCTTGCACTTTGATGGGGCAGCTCTGAATTTCATTGTACTATTGTATAATGACAATAAAGGCTTTCTATTCTGTTCTATTCTATTCTATTCTGTTCTATTCTATTCTATTCCAGTGTCTGTGTACATTGATGTGTGAATGGGTGAGTGGTTCTTTGATGTTCCTTGAGTAATATGTTTATTGAAGTAACATACTTTTACTTGAGTAAAGGTTTTTTGTTACTCTTCCCACTGTGAGTAAGTCTACAAGTGACAAAAGCTTTATGTTAACAGAATGAAATGATATGAACATTTGTGTTTCTTATAAAGTGCTTTGAATGCCTTGAAGGTGGAAAAGCTCTGTATAAAAATGTGACCATTTACAACTTACCATAATGTTGTTTCCTCACCAAAAACATACTTTCTATCAAACTGAAAACATCCTGTTCCACCTCATAACATCATGTGGTAATACAAGAAGTGCTCCATTGTGTTTTTAAACTCCCTACACCTTCACTAGAATCATTTTGATGATTTCAGCCCTGGAATTGCCTCTACTGAACAAAAGGTAAAAGGCGGCTGTTAACTTAAAAAAAACAAAACAAAACTGCTGCTTCATAACATCACAAGGTCAAACAGAGCATTTTGAGCTTTGGAGATATAACAAAACTAATAATACAGGGTTAGTCAAACATACGTTTTTGATGAGGTAACAACATTATAACACGGGTTAAAGCTCACGAGAATCCATTTTGTGTAATATATTGTGTAATATAGGACCTTTATGCGTTGTGGCCACTATAAGGACAGAGCAGAGGTATAAGTTGGCTATGCTGTAATGCTTGGGTGAGGAGTAATTTTCTCACGTAACTATGAAAAGAGATCGAAGCATGAATTATTTATATGGTAAGTGCTATTATATGCAGGTTTATTTTTTTTAATACAAAGGTTATGAGGGTTATTGCCACCTGCATATTTAGAGCATCTGAAAGTTTTTCTTAGCAACTTGTGATGGACAAACTAGTTATGAAAAGACTAAAATGTTAGGGCTTATACTCTTCACCATTAGTACAACGAGTTAAAAGTGACAGTGTAATCTATTGTTTCCACAGATAGTAGCGCCAACTAGGGACTGGCTCCAGTAGCCCCAAAATGTTTTTTTTTTTTTTAATGATTCAAATTTATCTTTGTTTAGGTAATTAGCAGAAACATCACAAGCAATTTGTCATCACGTATCATTTAATCAATCAATTAAGAGTTTAGTGCTTCGCTCATTGATTCTATAGAAATCTCCAATGCTTTTCAGTCGTCTTTGATATTTTTCCTATCTTTTTTTCCCTTGTAAGTAGCCATATTTGTTTTGATACAGACGGACCATGCGAGCCCTTGATTGGTTACTCCACTTGTCAATCAAACCCATCTGAAAAGTGGGAGATTCATCAGTGACAAGGCTCACATCTTTGTAAAGTATTGGAGAAGGGTGTATCCTAATAGCCAAGCTGGCGCCACCTAGTGCCTCCCCTCAATTTAATTTCTCTCCAGCATCTAGGTCAGGAATTGGAAAACACTAGACGGTGGGAAAAACCCCGCAAATGCAAGTTTGGGCACCAGCCAATCAGCGAAGAGCCATACATTCTGTGTTGTCAGCGATTCCTGAAACTGAGGATTTAAAGCCAGAATATAGAGAATGTTTGGTGAAGTTTATCAAGGGGAAAGACTTTATTGCCCTTCTTTCTACAGGATTTGAGAAAAGCTTAATATACCAGTTAGCAACGTTGGCGGCGCATTACATACATCATGACCAAATAGCAGGAATTGGTTAAATACAAAAAAGTACCCGTCTACCATCGAACGAACGAATCCTAACACTGCCAGACGGTTTGATGAATCAGGCTAATATCCTAGATCTCAGGCAATCATTTTTACATTCAAACCATCGACTGAATAAGAAGTGGACTTAGGGAGTGTTCCACGTTAGGAACAGGAATTTATTAACGGACAACATGGTGAAATAAAAACACCATGTAGAGCGGGTTAATACAAACATTGTCCTTTATACATACAGTCTATGATTCAAACATGTCTATCCTTTTAATCTTCAAGGTTGTGATGAATCTGTCTTGCTGTTGGTAATTGATTCTCTTATTAATATGTAAAATGCTCTAAACGCCTGTTCATCTTGATGACACACACAGCCATCTTTGGAGCTAGCATGGAGCCAGCCATGACTAAAAGGGACATCGATTAAAGTATGTTAGAGGAGAATGAGCAGAGACACAGAGACAGGTGGGTGCGCAGAAAAAGGCACTGTGCTTGGATGGAGAGCCTGTATAACACTGCAGCAGCTGTGAGTTATACTGTTTGCGCGGTGAGGGGGAGGGGGGGTATCCAGCCAGGGTTTCCACACTGTTAGCTTTGACTGCAGTGAATGATGGTAAATGCAGTCCTAGAGGAGGTCACGGAGGCTTGTGCAGGTGCTAAAGAAGATTCAGAGCTACTGCTACATGCGCGGTTCTTGTAAATAAACACTTTGAAAGATAAACAATAGTGCATTACCATTTTGTCCTATTCATTTTCACAAATGAGAAAAATAAATGAGTAGTTATTTTGTGCAAATCTCATATTTTATTTTTCACTTTGCTTTTGTTTGCTACATTTAATTACCCTTTTGTCATATTACTATTGACCATTATTCATTGTGTTCAGCCAAGCTTTTGTGATTCTGCAAATTCCCACATGAATCAGTAAAACAGATTTTTGGACCCCAAATACCACATTTTTTTTATTTATTCAGGAGACTAAATTGCCACATCTGTTCCTAGAATGACTTTTAACAGAGGTGTGTGATATTCCATTATATTTACTCAGTTACACTTCCACAAGTAACGTTCTAAAAACATATTTTTACTCCTACTTGAGTCAAATATTTATTGAAGAAACAGTACTTCTACTTGAGAAAACTCTGCATTGCCCACCTCTGCACTTTATTGTTCATTTTTACCAAGAAGGTTTAGGCCTGGCAATTTATAATACCAGATTAAACTCATAGCAAAACAAATGATGCATTAAATTAACCAGAGCAAACCAATTTTCTTGCCATTTTTGGGGGTCATTGGGCATGCCAAAACTGTAGCCATGCAGTGCTCAGTGTTCAGTAGTCATGGATATCTCTAAAACGTTAATTTCAAGGTTTGTGCCCCCGCTGGTGAAAGGTGGAAAGTTTTCATGCATAAATGTAGGACTCATCTGTTTGTCTCAGTCTGTCTATTTGACTTTACTCATATCGAGAGTACACTTCATGTCCAGCAGATGTTACCCAGAAAGGGAGTAAACAGCAAAGTCAATAGTTGATTTAAGGTCTTACATTACACAAAATGGATTCTTGTGAGCTTTAAGCCTTGTTAAAATGCTGTTACCTCATTGTTTTTTTTTCCATTCACACATGTTTGAGTAATCTTGTTTTATTAGTCTGGTTATGAAACAAAACAGAACTCCAGGTATGTTTTTGATGAGGAGACTACATTATAACATAGATCTATATAGGCCCTTTAAAGGTGCACAAGATTTTGGGGGTGGGGTCTGTCAACATCTTGTCTCATGGTAATATTTTTGCTTGACTTGGAACATTCCGCAGGACGGCATTAAACATATCTATCTTGCATTTATTCAATTACTGTATTTATCTGACAATAAGTGACATTTTTTTCCATGGTTTGGGTTTTCCTATGACTTATACTCTGGTGCGACAAAGAGAAAGAGCCACTGTCCTGTCTAGTATCATGTCAGTCAATCGCACCATTACTTCTGTATCACTGACAATTTAAAATTTAAACAAACATAAAGACAACTGAAACCATCTTGTCAGGATTCAGTCCTGAATAATTCTAATTGGAACTGATGCTGAGTCTGACAGCTACGCGGAAGAGGAGGTGGCGCTCTGTTTACCTCTGAAGGTCGTGGAGTTGCTCAGAAGTGACACAGAGGATGAAGAATTCAATGGATTTAGTGATTTGGAGTGAGATGGAGAGTTTGATAAACTTGTTATGTTCTGTTGTTTATGCTATAGTTATCTGAAGAACTGTTCATATGTGATGTTAACAGCCTGTTGTTCTCTGTTCTATTGTTATTGATATAATTTGCCTTTCAAGATAAAATGTCAGTTCCTGGTCTCTGATTTTATAAAATAAATTTCCCCCAAAAAGTGCAACTTATAGTCGGTGCGACTTATATATGTTTTTTTCTGGTTGGTTCGACTTATACTCCTGAGTGACCGAAAAATATGGTAAACATGTTTTTACTGCAGAAGGGTACCTGTAAAACATGCATTCTTACATGTCTTTGTCTCCTCTCTCCGCAGATCTTACCTGTAACATAGCCTGGTGCAGTCACTTGCTCATTTTCATGGAGATAGACATGTTTAATACCATACCTCAAAACTTTCCACGTAACTTTTTCCACCTCAAGTAATAACTCTACAGAGATCCCCCAACCAAAAGTCACATAGTGGCTCTTTGAAGGAAAATCTATAAACATACACGCCATCTGCCCATCTTGTATTTTTTGCATAATTAGCTTTTCTTTGATTGAGATTAGCTTTGAGGTAGGTTGAGAAGCTGAATTGAATTTTGATCAATATTACAATTATTTTTCTGATTAATTACAAAAAGGGTGTTATTGAAAAACAATGCAATTCTGTTCTAAATTACATGTATGCCTGGTCTGCATCTCAAAACCTTTAACAAAGCCACAAATCGAATCTACTGTTGCCTTTAAAACATAATGCATGGTTAGTTAGGTCTAAATGCTGCAGGTTAAGTTGTGAAAGTACATAAATTACTACATAAATGATTTTCCAATAACTGCTCAGCCTTACCTTGATCGTCTGAAGCCGGCCAGCCCTGTGTGTGTGGCCTCTTCTATCAGAGGAGTCACTATGCGCTCCATCATGTCCGTCAGCACAGTGAACGTGGGCACTACAATGAAGTCAATGAAACCTGCACAAAATTAAGAAATCATTAGTTTAATTAGTCACTCCAAAATAACTTTAGCTTTCTTAAAGTTGCATCGAGTAACTTTTCTGGTGGACGGTCCATCAGATTCTTTTCTGTGTTGAGATGTTATTGCTTTGTCTAGAAAGTTTCACAGTATAGTATTAAAACTTTCTTTCTTCACTGGGACCAAATCAGACCAAGCTGCAGGTCAGATCTGTGGAGAGGCTCACAATCAGGATGCCCTTTTTTTTTTTTGGTATTTTTGAGCTCTAAAACCATCTGTAATTGAATAAATGTAAGGTAGAGCTGTTAATGTCACACTGTGGAACATTCCAGCCAAAGGAATGATATATCCATAGAAACAAGTCGGTGAAGATGGATTGTTGGATAACAAATATTAAAACTATTACTGGCATGGAAAAAGTTGAGTGCCATATTCTTCAATTATAGGCAACAGCAATAATTCAGGGTTGTCATTTATTAAAAAAAAAAAAAACTCAAATTGAATTAATCTATAAAGAAAACACTTGAATTATTGATGGTAGACATTTCAGCAAGGTACTGTAAACTAAAAGTAAATGATATACTCTTATGTATGTGCACTTTGGCAGGTTTTAAGTCAGATGCTTCCCATAAGGCAAGGCAAGGCAAGGCAAGTTTATTTGTATAGCACAATTCGTAGCACAACTTCTGAAAAAAATCTGGAACTAGTTTCAAAAGCCAAAAGTTTGGACACACAAACTCATTCAGTGTTTTGTTTGTTTTTTCTTATGATCTCAAGCACTGGAAGTGGATCGTTAAATTGGTAAAACATATTACATTTTCCACCTGTTGTGCCTTTGTCTACTTACCAATCTGAGACTGAGCCACCATGGTTGACTTTCTATCACACAATGGAGAAAACGGCAAACCCAGCTCTGCCTCTTTGTCCCCCTGAAAATATACATTTAAAAAAAACTGTCAAAAACATCCACAAAGTTCACTATATCATTTGACACACTCTTGGCTTGGGGCGTACACACTTATAATACTAACTACAAACCACCCACTCTCTGTATATGCAAGCTGTCATCATGCCACTATTCCCCATATGCTCACATTACCATCCACTGGCTCTGAATCGTCTGGCCCCCGCCCCGACTACTTCCAGAGCCAGAAATGTGTGTTATTTTCTCTGCTGATTCGTCACAAAACAGATGAGACGTGGAGTTTGGAGAGAGCCAATGTTCTGGAGACAAGCTATTTATTGTCAATTCTGCCCAATCCCGGGAGACAGCGCGCAGCTACAATAACAATGGCACTGATAATGAGAACAATATGGATAAATAATGGAGCACATGATAGCAATGCGGCTACAGTTTTAAACTAATGTCCTACTTGACGATGTTCACAAATGCATTATTTATTGTTTATAGACAAATGGAACGGTTTGTCAAAGATAATGTTCTATACAAGTCTGGCAGAAGACAATAAAAAGTTTGATAAAAGACGTCATGAAAGACAGTGGGACACACTTGTTAATAACTGAATATATATTTGCTACAACTGTGAATCATTCTGAATTGAAGAAATAGTTCTGGCTGTTTCTGTGTATGTGCACTATGTAACTTTTCTGGTGGAGAGTATGTTTCATAGTATTTCTTTAAATGTATCTATATCCAGGTGATGTTACCAGGCCAAATTACAAGTCAGATCTGTGGAGATGGGACCCGGCCCACAGTAATTTGAGCCCATTTGAGCCATCAAAAACACGTGCTAGACTTAATGCTATACTGCGGAATATTCTAGTCAAAGCAATAATATCTCCAAGGGGACTCCAAGCAGACACACACTCCCCACAAGCAGATGTTACATAGTGATTTTGTTTTTCTCTTTAATTCAGTCGCAAAGGTTTGTATATACTTCTTACTAGGTTTTTCTAGGGATGGACAATATATTGAGTCCAGTGTCTATATTGGCCGATATCAACATTTTGTGTTGCATTTTTTGTATGAAAAACACTCTATAAATAAAGTTTCATTGTTTCATTGATTGAATAGGAATCCATCTATATTGGTAGTGATATTTTTTGTGCTGCCTCATCCTCTGTGTGCCCGTTTAAAACAGATTAAAGAGCCAAAATAGAAATAGAAAAGCATTATATGTATGCACGTTAATGGATAAATCCCAGTAAAATACATTTTATTATTTTTACAAAAGTGAAAAGTTTATTTGTGAGCGTTACTTTAACTTAAGATAAATTTGTGGGCCTCACTATGGATTTTAAAAGCTAAATATCAGTACTGGCAAATATTGTTTTTGGCCAGAGCCACACAAATCCATAACAAACTATCCCTAGGTTTTCCCTTTATCCAGGCTTTGAAATGGCACTATTTTTGTTCAATAGTTTCATAATATCCTAACATAACTGCCGTTTGTAGTTTTATCATAATAATTCCAAGTTTTTTACAATTTTTACTCTCAGAAGGTGAGGAATAAGTTTGGACCACCACACTTTATTTATTTACACTTAAAAAAAATAGATTCTGTACCTTTAATCCTTCTTGTTGTACTGTTTGCATTATGCTGTTGTACCTGTCTGAAGAACTCCTCGAGCAGGGAGGTGGTCCAGCGGTGGTGCAGGTCCCAGCTCTTGGCCGGGTGACTAATGTCCGCTGTGTGCAGGAGCAGGGACAGAGCTTTGGGCTTGTCGATCCTGAAAAAGAAGCACATAAAAAAGATTCATGATTTGTAAAAACTTTAAAATGAAACTTTCTGTACAAAGTTGTGTTTGGACATGTTGCTCTTGGGAAGTTTTCACATTTTAGAAAACACCTCACTTTATTTACCTCCAAGCAATGTTATAAAATAGATAAACTTTAGAATGACTTTTGCAATAAAGTTCAAATGAAGGATTTTTTGCTTATTTGTTCAGTATAGTGGATTGTAAAATCAATTTGCTTGTACCACTGTATAAGATTTAGGATCTTTGTTTATGCCTATAAGTGTTACCAGTGCATTAGGCAGGACATCACTGTTAATTCAGAATCAGTTTATAAAGACAAACTTGGTTAAAGAGGGGGTATTTTACTTCTATGGGGTATTAAATCTACTAACTACTCTCTCTGCTCTCTGTGCTAAGTCACTCCCCTTTCAGAGCACCATCACAGTACAATCGGCGTGCATCCCACTAATGAAACTACTGCACATCACATCAGGTTTAAGAAGTTTGTGTGTGCAGTTTTGTATCATGTTTTTTATGTATTTATGGAGAACTGTCACATGGGATGACGTAGGCTCATCGCTAAATTACTCAAACATGCATGGATAACATCGAAAACCTCTTCAGGCCTGTTTCTGACCAAGGAACAACATTATATAACATGTTAGATTTTGTATAATACCCCTTCTTTAATCATATTCATGCTGAAAACATTGTTTAGCTTAATAGTGAGCAGCTGTTGTAAAATGTTAAAGTGATTTACAACTTCAGTATAATTATACAGAAAATAAGGGTTTACACTTTCATTTTCTTTTGCTGTAGTGTGGTGTTTTTTGACACTAAAAGTTTCCCAAGTTGTAAATGTGCTAAACTTGGACAGAAGACCTCACTTAGTTCAGACTCATTAAACATGCATGATCAGCCAAGCAGCAAATGAACTATTGATATGCTGTAGTTCACTTGTATGTGAAAGTGATTAGAGGTCTACCTTCATTAGCGTGATCTACTCTAGTTCAGAAAAGTATTTGTTAAAGATTTCATGTTGTGTAACTTTAAAGGTCCTATATTGTGCAAAATTGACTCCTGTCAGCTTGTAGCCATGTTGCTACCTCATCATAAACAGACCTGGAGTTGTTTTTTGTTTCATTCACTCATGTTTGAGTGAATGAAACAAGTGATTATTAATCTGTCTACATCTCTAAAGCTCTGTTCCACCTTGTGATGTCATGAAGTGGTAGTATTCAAGTTAACAGCTCCCTATTACTTTTTGTTTAGTACAGACTGGAAATTGCAGGCTGAAATTATACATATGATTCTAGTGAAGGTGTATGGAGTTTAAAAACACAGTGGAGCACTTCCTGTATTTCAACTTCATGACATCACAAGGTGGAACGAAGTGATTTCAGTTTGAGAGAAGACCTTAAGAAAACAACGTTATAACAGATCAGAAAATAGCGTAACATGAGCTATTTAAAGTCTGAACAGAAAAGCAGGCTTGTATTATTTGATGTCATAGTTAATATGATTTTAGTCTAATGGCTGATGCACTTTGTTGGACTATTAATCCCCTACTATCACTGTTACTATGACTAATATAAACACAACTTTTATGTGTAATGCAAACCTGACCTCTCAAAATATGTTATGTTGAAATCATCGAGGGACACTAATACATGATAAATATAGTATCTTAGAGAGAGAATTTTGATTTAGGTGACTTTTGAACAAATTTATAAGACAGTTTATGATCTACAGTCCAGAGAGTGACAGTTGGTGGAGAAGCCATCAGACCTAAACCTCGATGAAAAATGGACCTGAGTGAAATTTACAACTTGGGGTGAGCCAGGGACTTGTGCCAGACGAAGTGAAATGCTGAATCATGGTATGTGCTGCTCTGATTGAGATACAGTAGAGTACAGACTTGCACTCAGAGAGAAGCCTCACTGATTGTGCAGCAGCATAGAGACTTTATAGGATGTTTTAAATGTCCTCTATCTAGTGATGAGAAGAATACTTGAAAATGTATTCAGTCACAGAATACCTGCATTAAAATGTATTTTGTACATTAGACATTAGAAAAGTAACTGTATACCACCAAATTAAAGGGTAACTGTACCAGAACACAGTATTGTTTTCATTTTTATTCTGAATATGTATTCTCGATATTAGGGATGGGCATTCAATGAAATTTTCTTAATCGATCGTCGGAAGAATTAACGATCGATTATCGATTAATCATTAACGTTTTTATATTAAAATGATCATCATTATTATTACTATCTGCACTACTAATGTGCATAAATAAATTCAACTTTACGACATATAAACCGTAACGACTCTAGAGCCACATCAATCCGTTTGACATTATAATGTGTTTAATTCAGTTTTGCGCAACTCTCACAGAAACAAAACTTAAAACCGCATCGCTAATTTGAAGATAAAACTACAGCTCTTATGTCGCTGATGCGGTCAACTTCTGTCAGATTAAAAGACATGACTCAGTGGAATACAGGTTAGTGTGACCATATTTGCGTTTGTCAAAACCAGGACACCGTACAGGGGGACTCGTCATCGACCTTGCGCGACTCTCACCTGGCAAAACTTTTTCCCACTGGACACCGAAACATATGTGCTGCTTTATACACTGTGCACATGGACTCCCACTTGTCCCGAACGTAACTGAAAGCTTGGAATTTCTTGTACAAATCATCGTTAAATACGCATTTGTGCTTCGGCACGCTGCAGACTGACCGAATGTTTGTGTTTGCTCGCTCCTTCTGAGTGCAGAGAGACACATGTACGGACCCCTGTTTGGTCACGCTACGCACAGCAAACTGCATTTGGTTTGTCGATTAAAATTAACGTAATCGATGAAATTCTTAATGATCAATTATCGATTAATCATGCCCATCCCTACTCGATATATGTATTCAATCCCAAAACTTATATTGCAGAAAATTAATTTAACTCTTGTGAGCTTTAAGTCATCAAAAACATGCCGGAGATGTGTTTTATTTTATTCACATATGTTTAAGTAATCCTTTATTATTAGTCTGTCTACATCTCCAAAGCTCAAAATGCTCTGTTCCACCTTGTGATGTTATGAAATGGTAGTTTTTAAGTCAGGCTCTACCTTTTATTATTTAATTCAGAAGGCAGTTCTAGGGCTGAAATTATCCAGGCGATTCTGGTGAAGGTGTATGGAGCTTAAAAACACAGTGGAGCACTTGCTGTATAACCACATGACATCACTGGGCATCTAGTTGCTTTTATATTTTTGTCTCTCTCCCAAAAGTTTTCAAGCCTTCAACATTTTTGTTTGGATTGATTGCACCATGATTGCGATTACTTTTCACATCTGTCACTCTGTATTTTTAACTATTATCCTTCATTTCAATGCAAATAGCTCAATCTAGTCTATAGTGTATACCTTATTCTGCAGTATATACACAAATAGCAGATGGTGCTTCTTACACTTTCAGTGGAACTTTAAACTTGAAATGTTACTGAAAACCTGAAATTTAAACTTTTCACATCGCTCACTATGAATATAATTTTTACACAGCATGTTATCTTTGAAAGTGACACCATTCAGATCCACATTGGCTAAATCTAGTATTTAGTGTCCTATTCTACCCTTTTGAGTCAGTTTTTTGAGACATGTTCTAAAATGAATGTGAGTCTCGTATTCATTTATCAGTTTCTATCTTCTCTCAAAAATGAATGCGGCTGGATGTGTTAAAATGTGCACTGTGAACTGAATCCTGATTTTTAAAACCAAACTGCAAATTTAATTGTAATTTGTCATTTGTCATAACATTGTCCCAAATTATTATGCACTTCTTTTTGTGCAATTATTTTGGTAGTAATACATGCATCCTGAATTTTGGACTTCCGGTCATTGCGCAATGCATACTGGGAAGGGTCCTCCGAAAAAGTGAACATCAAACCGCCATGTTTGATTTTCCAGTGGGATGCGTTTATTGTCAAAGCCGATCTTTTCAAGTCTTTTAAACCATATCGCTTTTGTTTTTGGTTCTGATGTTGTCAAATTTTTGTTACAGGATTCGGACATCGTAATTGTGTGGTTGTAGGACGTCCTAACAGCGGAAAACGAGCTTCGGAAGTTTGCGAACTCCATAACTGCAAAAGGGAATCAGGTCTGGGTGACTGCAAACCTCCATTCAAACTGTTTCCCATCACAACGGAACTGAAAAATAGTGAAAGACGAAGGTGATGGGCAGTATTGATACACAGGAAGGATGAAAAAGAAACCTTTGGCTGCTTAAGAAATCATCCTGAGTTTGCAGCAAAAATTTTTTATGTGGAGCGCCATCAAAACAAAATCCCAATCCCTCGCTCAACCTTGGTTATGAATTTAAAAAGTCAAAGCCAAAGTGAAAGGCACTAGCTGTTTGCCAAGAAACACCTTCCACTGCAAAGCGACCAAGATGTAATGTTGCTGTAAAGTCAGTCAAACAAGAAAGTGCGAGCTCAGCCTGTTTGTCTTCTGTACCTCTTGCTTAACAAACAGGATCCCGCTTTGATGGCGCTCCACATACAAAATGTTTCCTGCAAACTTGGGATGATTGCTTAGGCAGCCAAAGGTTCCCTTTTTCATTCTTCCTGTGTATCAATACTGCCCATCACCTTCGCCTTTCACTATTTTTCAATTCCATTGTGAAGGGAAACATTTTGAACAGAGGTTTGCAGTCACACAGATCAGATTCCCTTTTGCATTTATGGAGTTCGCAAACTTCCGAAGCTCGTTTTCCACTGTTAGGACATTCAGCAACCACACAATTATAATGTCCCAATCCCATAACTAAAATATGACAATATCAGAACCAGAAACAAAAGTGACATGGTTCAAAAGACTTGAAAAGATCAGCTTTGACAATAGATGCATCCCACTGGGAAATCAAACATGGCATATTTAGGTTTCACTTTTACCTACTGATTTTCAAATATTTTTCTTATTTTTAAAGAGTCAA